GTGTTTTGCATGTCCTAGCGGTTAGACCACACGTTATCGACAGGACGGAGCATTGTTGCCCCGGAGTACCAACCACCGAGCGCCAATCGTTACTTTGCCAAATTTCGATAGGGGGAGGAGGAAGGGGTATAAACAATTGGGGGCTACGCACACACCGCGAGGACAAAAAGAGAAGATGCACGGCGGGCGGACCAAGCCATGAATACGTCGCTTCTCAATCAACGCCTTGCAACTCTCGAAAAACAACGAAAACTCTCCTGGGCTATTCTATGTCTGTGGGTACAGCAGTAGAGACGGGCTTGTTGTGTTACAGCAAGAAAAAAAAAAAAAGTCCTCGAAAAGCACGAAACTAACAACGCCCACCACCACCGCTGCGGGTTACGACATTAACCTAAACCACACCTGCTGTCTCCGCTCCTCGCTCTAGGCCGACTCCGCGCTTCCCGGCTCCATCCCCTACCGCGATCCCTGGATCGGTCCCTGGATCGGTCCCTAGATCGGACCCTGGATCGATCCCTCGAAACGTCGCTGGAAGGGTAGCTAGAACGGTAGCTAGAACGGTCGCTGGAGCGGCCTCGTCCCCTGCCTCCGTCCCTCGAGGAGTCCCTGCTCGGAGACCGCCTTCTGGGGGGGGAGTGGTCCTTGCTTTTGCCCTTATCCTTTTCCTTCTTGCCCTTTGCCTTCGACAGCGGTGGTAGTTTCCGGGGGAGAGAGGCAGCCACACATCACGACAAGCGGCCAAAGGGTGGAAAACAAGAATAGCGAAAAAAGACGTTTCGCTTCTCAAATGTTGTGTTTACGTCGCACTCGCAAGGCAAACAAACGACACCGTCTTCATCAGGTGGCACCGATTTCGCTTGCATCGTTTCTCTCTGTTGGGAAGGAGCGCGTCCATGCATGCTACGTCTCGATGAATCACTTCATACAATGCGCCCGGTGGTTCAAAAACAACACATGCCTGTAAAGTTATCCACAGCAGCAACTATGCAGAGTGAAAGTCGACGACCAACGGAAAATACGACGGACACAAGGCTGACTTGCACCAGCGCGCTCCGACATGTAGCAACGCGAAATACAGGCGACATAATCATCTCCTTGCTCACCCGCCCCGCCTACGGCAGGCAAGCGACCCGTCCACCCGCACCTACACCAAAACAGGCGGTGGCAATCACACCCACGCTTGTAACACCCCCACTTCTCCCACGGCACTCCCTCCAGGCCTCCCCATGGCCACCCTCCTCCTCCCTGACCCTTCACCCTAACCTCCCGTTGTTGTTGCTGTTGTTGTTGTTGTTGTTGCTGTCGTTGTCTTTGTCGTCACACTAAAAACCGTTCCAGTCTCCGCTCAGTACCTCTTGCAGTCTCTGAAAAAGGAAAACCTGACCCCATACTCTCCTTGTTGATGTTGTTGCTGCTGCTTTGTGTTCCAGTTGTCTTCACGTAAAAACGTTCCGGTCTCCCCTCAGCACCTCCTACTCCCTCACAAAAAACGCCCCATGTAGCACGGAGCTGAAAACCCCAAAAGCCATCCCACCTTGGAACCGGCACCCTTGTCGCTCTTCTTCGCGTCGTCGCCGCTACCGCCAGCCTTGCCAGCACCGCCGCGGGAGGAAGAGGACGTCTTGCCACCGCCGCTAGCTTGCTGCTTCGAGGGCTTCTTCCCCCCCTCCCCCTCTCCTTTCGTAGTTGTCGTTTTGTTGGGCGCGGCAGCGGCAGCGTTCTTGTTCTTGGCCTCGAGCTCACGAAGATATGCGCCCAGCCTGTGGGCGGCGTTTGCGGGGCGCCGCAGCAAGCGGAGGGGGAGGGGGGGGATGGGGGGGGGGTGCTGTGAGGACGGGATTTGGCNTGCCACCGCCGCTAGCTTGCTGCTTCGAGGGCTTCTTCCCCCCCTCCCCCTCTCCTTTCGTAGTTGTCGTTTTGTTGGGCGCGGCAGCGGCAGCGTTCTTGTTCTTGGCCTCGAGCTCACGAAGATATGCGCCCAGCCTGTGGGCGGCGTTTGCGGGGCGCCGCAGCAAGCGGAGGGGGAGGGGGGGGATGGGGGGGGGATGCTGTGAGGACGGGATTTGGCTGCGCTCATCAACGTGATACAGGATAGCGGCACATCATGGTGTACCATGACCAAAACAGATCTGGCGCAGAACGGGACACGGGATACATGTAACCGTTTCAAACTCGGCACACGCGTTAAAAAAAAAACGACAACAAAAAAGAGGGACACGGGCAGTTGGCGGCGACCCCACGCCACCAGCTGCGGCAGGACAAAACGCCACCTTCCGTTTCTCTCACCATATGCAAAATTTGGTGGCGGTGCCTGCCGTGAGGAGGTCTTCAAGCTGGGAGCAGATCTCCCTGTAGGCAATGGTAGGCAAACGAGGAAATAAACGCGGAAGACATCCGTATATGTGTGAGAGACAGGCGTGTCAACTTTCAAGGACAAAGCAACAAAGATGGGCCAGCGAAAAATACACGCATCTGAATATACAACAATTATAGTGGAAACCAGGATATAGGTATCTTCCTAGTGGCAGCGACGCACACACAACAGTGAGGGAGGGTATCATGAGTAAATAAGAAATGGTGTCAGGTAACAACAAGCGAGCCGAGGACACGCGACCCGGCGTCATGTACGTACAATATTCCACCACCCTATGGTAACTCTGAAGTAGGCGCAGTTCCATACCGGAGATCTTTGGTGGAGCGCACAGCAGGAGATACGCTTGCACGTTGCGAATTGAAACAGAGGAGTTTCCACGCACATGCGAGATGACACATGATTGATTTTCCACGACAAAATATTTTAGATACATCTTTTCACGATGGAGCTGCATCTTGTCTTCACAACAAAGATCCGCTGCCTGCTATCATTTTTTTCCGTGGAGACGCCGCCGTTATTGTCGGTCGATTAGACACCCACCAGTCCCACGTAACGCTTGTGAATGTCGGTGAGCTAGCCCGGGGCACACTTTTATCGCTGTTTCGGGAGCCTACTTCGCCAAAGGTGGCTCTTTCCCTAGCCTACATGTATCACTTCCCGCCTTTTTAGCCCTCTTCCTATGCCCTAGTATAGTTACCGCCTTCTTGACGGAAACGGGGGGGGGGTATTGTACAACGTTCTACGACCGGAGGGTCAACGACAAAAAGGTTTGGCTAGAAGAGAATAGAGTCGTCCGTCCGCTCGAACAGCACAGCACAGCACAGCACGGCACAGCACCTGATAGTTTTCCCGTTGCTGACCATGACGGTGATGTACTCCGGAAACACCTCGTCGCATGGTTCCTCCATGAGCTCCTCGAGCTTCTTCGTCACCGCCCCCTTTGGAGCACGGCAGCAGCAAGCAAGCAACGATGACGGCCGCGTTGACAAGACAGAGTCGAGAGAAACGACAGCGATGGCGACCGCGGGGAGAGAATGGCATGACGACGACAGGGACAACAACGGTAAAAGCAGCGCGACATGTTGACCCATGAAGCTGCAGGAGAGGCGAAAAAAGACAACATAAAAGAAAGGCGTCCAGGACACAGCTGCAGCAAACGACCACAGCGACGGCACGTTGAAAAACAAGGCCGTAACAAAACCACAGCAGCAGTAGCGACCCCGTGAAGAGGCCAATCAGCGAGGATGATGACAACGGCAACGCCAACGGCGGCACTGTACAACCATGAGCGTAGCTGCAGGAACGACAAAAACGGTGTGAAAACACCCGATAGTCACCAGTGACCATTCGAGAAATCTGCTTGGCTGTGGCTCTCATAACGGTACTGACAGCTACGGCTACAGTCAGGGCCCACACTTGCGAACTTCTTAGTTTGCCCGAGGCTCGATTCTTGTTCTCTCTATGGGTACTGTACCCCATCATCGATTACCGTATATGACACAAGATAACAAACCCTCTGGACCGATTTTTCAAAGCTCCATTACGCCACGACGAAGAGGATGCAAAAACGAAACGAAACATTTTCCGAAAGCTCTCGACGGGACGGCTTCAACGCCGTCATTTTCGGCGCTGTGACTCTCTCTGCAGTTGAGCAATCGAGCTCTGAAAATCGGTCCAGGGGGTGTGTTATCTTGTGTCGTATACGGTATATAGGTTATAGTGTATGACTGAGCACGTGTTCTTACGGTCAATTTCAAATTTTTACTTCCTTTCGACAAGCCTAAACTCCGGCAGACAAAACGTGGCACCGCACGCGACACACGGACGGTTTATTCTTGATGCCGACGAAGCTCCGCGGAAGACAAAAGAAGCGTCTTAAGAGGGAGAGAGGACGAAAGCGAGGTGGCCGGCATTGACATCATCTCCCACTCTCGAGACGAAGGGGACACTCAAGAGAACGGCTACAGCTTTGCTGCGGCCTTACCCGAGCTCCGAGCTTCCCGCCACGACTCGGCAGGTCTACGCGCACTCAAGAGCACTACCGTAGTTGTCACGACGTAAGATATATCACAATCCCTGGATCGATTTTCACAGTTCCACCACGAGAAGGTTCCAACGCAGCCCGCCTTTTTCTGCACCGCCACTCTTTCTGCTGTGGAGAACTCATGCTATGAAAATCAGCTCAGGGGGGGGTGCTATCTTACGTCACCTACGGTATGTCGCCACGCGCCGACAGGGAAAGTCGGGCGCTGCTAGACAGCAGGTGCAGGAGCCACCAGACTCCGACGGAAAGGACACGCACGCACGGTAACAACGCCTCCACGAAAAAAACAAAGATACAGCATGCGTCCGCACTCAAGAAGCTCTAGTTTTAGTTCCTAGCGCTAAACTAGAAATGGTCGCGATACAGCATGCACCCGCGCTCTAGAGGAGCGCTAGTTTTGGCCAGGACTGTGGTTCTTAGTTCCTACTCCAGGGGTATGCTAGAAAAGGTCGCTACAGCTCTAGGTTTGGCAGAGGCTGGGGTTCTCAGTTCCTAGTGTCATGCTACGAATGGCCGCTACATAGCTTTTTGTGAAGGGGTTCTTCACCAAGTTCACGAAACAGCGCCAAAATTCTTAGATTTTAATTTTTCGAGGCCATCTCAATTTCTTGGCTGCCGAGTCTTCAAGTGCGGGCGCTAACTGTACAACAACAGGACGACAAGGAGGAGAGGGTGTCGTAGAAGCGCTCGCTACCGGGGGGGGAGGCGGGGGGGACCCACCTCGAGTTTTTGTCGGGCACTGCTACATGTATGCATACGACAAATCGAACATGTACACAAGACTCACTCACTTCAGCACGTTCCCTTCAACTGTGTTGATATCTCGAACGTGTGTAGTCTTGTTTGTTTTTTTTCTCCCATCATTGGACTCTATCGTCTGCCCCTCTGGCCCCTATCCTCCACTTCTACCAGCTAGACGACCCAACCGGGGTCACATAGGAGGGGGGAGCTGGACCCCCTCCTGCGGTTATATATGTACTTGTATGTATTTCTAACTACGACTTGTGACGACAGACGAGCATGTACAAGCATACCGGACCACCTTTGCGAGATTAGTAGGTTTATTAGAAAATAGAACAGCAAGCGGGGTGCGCAGATCCCATTCCCTAACCCCAACCCCAACCCAGCCTTCCCAACTGCATGCTTTATCCAACATGTTTACTTGATCAAAAAACCCTGCCAAGGCTACTGCAACATATTGGTATGCATTCAGAAGTACCTTGACCGATGCGGTGTTATCGCCCTCTTGCATGAGGCCCGGCGGGAACGAAAAGTCCATCAGCTCCCCTTCTCCTCCTCCTCCTCCTCCTCCCGCCGTCGCCGCTTTCGGTTGGCCCGCCGAACCACCCCCATCCGCCGCCGCCTCAGACACCATCGTCGAGTGCCTCTATCGTCCGCCCGTCCTGCGGATATCCTTTCCGCCTCTAAACCAAGCGCTGCTGCTGCGAGCTGGTCAGCGCCTGTAGCACCGATGGTAGAGGAGGCTCTCCAACGCTGCCGCTGTCGATGTCGCCAGGACCAAACGGTCACGACACACGACACCGCGAGGGAACTCCCGGCTCCCTCCTTCCCCGTAGGTGAAGGTAATGTGTTGCGGTTAATCGATAATTGCTTGCCCTTTGGAGACTGGTATACGTCTCGAGCGGGGTTCGATTCTCACTCGCACACCACACAACAGAAACGGGTGAACACGCACGAAGATTGTTTCTGACGGGGTTGTTTAACAGCCGGCCCGCGAGAAACGGATGGTGTTTCCTCGTCCCTTGCACCTAGAAAGAAGAAAAAACTTGGAAACACACTCGACCCTGAGGCGCAAGGCGGCGGGGGGCGCGCGGGAGTGGAAGATATCATTGTTTGGGATGGAAGACCGGTGCGCGAGCAAGAGGTCTGACAGCACCTGCTGAAAAAAGCTCGCTCTTACCGTCAACAGATCTAACACACGTAATAAATGTGCGACAGCAGTTCGAGGGTACAAAGGTCGAGCACGAAGACTGAAGTATTTACCAAGTGTCAAGTCCGCGTTCGCAAATCTGCCTTGCATGCACTCGTTCACGTCTGTTGGCCTGGTCAGCGGTACTTGTCGGGGATGGGGGTGAGCGTGATGTGATCATCCGTTGAACTTCTCTCTACTGCCGTATTTCTGGAGGGGATGCAGCAGGGGAAAACTTCGGGTGCGTGGTGCTGACAAGGGTTCTCCCGATGCGACGAAATCCGAGGCAGGATCGATCGTGTGGCAAGTGTTGGTTGTGCGGGGTGTCCAGAGCGCTAAACACAACTCATCAACAATGTGTTGCAACCGCACACCCCAGCAGCAGCGACAATTTATGTAAAGGGGGTTATTTTCGCACAGCAAACAGACTGACGTGGGGGGGATCGAGGAGCAGCAGAAGCAGCAACCGTCGGTATTCCAATGCAGCGTCGCGTTGGTTGCACACACAACTAAATAAGGCCTGTCGCAAACTCGCTCGCTCCTGGGTGTATCACCCTCACGGACCGGTCAATCGGTGGGTGTGTCCTGCCAACCCTTCAAGAGCGAATGGTAAATGGCACCGCGCTGTGTCTAAGAGCATCCCAGTGGCTGCTTCACCCGGCAGACTATACGGGGGCAGGTGCTTCACAATCAGGCGGGTCATACGCACAGAGGGCGCTTATCAGGATCAGAGGTGGGCGGTGAAGGTATGCGAGTGAAGCTGCGCAGCTGCGCCGTCTCGTGCGGTGCACCCATAACCGGGCTGTTCCTGGGGGTTAAAGGAGGGACATGGATCCATACTTGCCATCAAGCCCGGCTTTCGACTAAACTTTCACCCAGCCTTCAGTCCAGAGCGTTTTTCACATCCCTGCGCTCACCTCTCTCTCCAAACCAAGGACTCTCTCACACTGGTAGTCGGCAGTAGCGCAAGTCTGTTCGTGCAGGAGACGAGCAGACCAGGGGGGCCGGCACCTAGCGCTTGTCAAAGGGATAGGGGGGGTCTGCATTGTGCCGCCCACAGCAATGCTCTGAACGCTAGACTGCTCCATACCAATACCGACACAGCCAGCGAGAGACAGCGATAGCATTGCACAGGGAGAGTGGCAGGGCGAGAAAAAGAGAGGGGGAGCTCTCGCTAGAGATAGGTGGGGTGGCGGGCGACGGAAAACGTTTCTGTCGGCACAGCACAGCAATGGAAGAAGCAAGCAAAGGTGCATCATCAGAACCAGCAGCAGCAAAGCTTGTTCCACCAACACCGCCGGCGGAGCCGACAGCAGCGGCCGCAGGGCCGAAGCGAAGCACCGCACCTTCCACCTCCTTCGAAAACTGCCGCCCGGCCCTTAGTCAAGAGGTCCTGGAGGTGGTGAAGGAGATGGGCTTCGAGAGCATGACGCCCGTCCAGGTGTGCGTATCTTGAACCACGATTTTTGTGGGAAATTTGAGTTTGCTCCCGCTTAGAGAGCATCAGTGGCGTGCGGCAGGCGTACAGCACCTGGCCAAGGCGATGGCTGGTTTTGATGTCGCTGGATGCTTGCGTTGGAAGCGCGGCCTTTTGCGGGGGGATATTATCGGACCGAGAATGGCAGACGAGACATCTGTCGCTCCACTAAAAAATAGGACCACCACCGAGGTTTTCTTCTGTAACATCAGCATCACCGAGAATACAGACTCCGTCTGTAAATAGTTTATTTAATATGTAATTACTTGGTCAGTATGCCCTCAACTAGTCCAACTTAGTCTGAGACAAGTCTAAGATAGATTTGTAGCAATGGATCCTAGCGTCAGCGAAAGTTCTGTTTTTCCACGATTTCCGGCTCCACTCCGATACATGGGGGTCCAACAAAAAAGCATGAAATTTTTTCGCGCGAAGCGCGAAAAAGAACGGGCGGAGAAAGAGACGCAGGCGTAGATAGGTATTGGATGGAGCCTCACAGAGAGGCCATCACTGCTACTGCACCCGCTCACACCTCACCCAACACCACCACTCAGCCGTGTACGCAGGACTGGTGCTGTTGAGCAGCGCGGGGTAGAGTGAAAGTGTTGTGTGGTGTGGACGAAGCTCTCACGAATCATCATCAGCTCCTGCTGCTGCTGCTGCTGCTGCTGTCGCTGCGTGGATGATGTGCACCACTTGCGCTTGTAGCAGCGGCAACGGGCTCTAAAAATCGCCCCCGACGCCCTCTATGTGTTGTGTATTTGGTCGCCTTGGCCTGCAGCGTGTGTACATCTCAATGTCTCTCTGTTTTCGGGCGGGTCTGTTGTGGATGAAGAGAAGATAGATCCGCCTGCAGACAGACCGGCGAAGATAACCGCAGATTGACTTGTGTGCACTTGCTCCACTCGCTTACGCTGCCAGCAGCAGGCAACGGGCTTCGAAAATCGCTCTCGATGCTTCGTATGATGCGTTCCTATGGCCGTCTTGGCCCGTAGCGGTTTGTACGTCTCATTAGTTTAGGGTTATGGATGCACCACTGCTGTGTCGTAGCAAGCTCAAAAGATCGGCCTCAGCAGCAGCAGCAGCAGCAGCAGCAGCAGCAGATTTGACCTGTGTCGCCTCCCTCGCCTGTGGTGCTGCCGACAGCAGCCAACCGGCTCGGGCAGTCGAACCCGACCTCCTGTTATGTGTGCCGTTGGCTGCCCTTGGTCCACAGCAGTCTCGTGTGCTGCTGTGCTGGTTGTCTCGTGTGTTGTCTGCATGTATCATGTGCTGCTGCTGCTGTGCTACAACGTACGTCTTTCGGGGGATTCCCGCTCGGCGGCGTGCCCATCGCCCAATCATCTGTCTCTGTCCTACATAATGTCCTATATAGCCGGCATGTGATCGGTGGGAGAACGGCATCTATCCGACTCTACCCCTCTAAAACTTCGATGATTTGTTTTGTTCTTCCGGGCCAACATAGTTTTTGCTCTACGTATGGGTGCTGTGCCCGATTTCCCGAGCAGCACACAGCGATTCCATGTTTACTTATATGGAAAACCTCACGTGAGACTAGTGACGTGGAATAGGCAGGCGGTGGCCTATCGCGCGTAGGTTTGTGTGTAGATGTGCCAGTGGGGCCGTTTGTGTGCGCGTCTCAAAAGTTGCTTGCGATCAAAGTGTGTTGCTTCGGCTTTCTTGGGCTAGCAACAGCAGGGAAGTCAATTACTGAACAAGAGGGCGTGCGACATCAGCTGGCGCTGGCATTTGGCCCGATTGCACCTATGTATATGTATCCCATTGCACCGCTTCTTTTTCTCTCTCCAACCTCCTTTCTCTCTCTCAAATAACTGTAATTCCCTCATAGGCTCATGCTTCCAACCCTAAACCGACACTTTCTCAATTCTGCTCCCCATCTCATACACTTTTCATGACCTTATTTGACGATAACTCAATCAGAACTTAACCCAACCCTGTTCCCAGAGCCAACAGTCTCAGTTCCATTCCATCACGCCTCAACATATATACTGCGATTGAACTGCCTCCACAGCGTGCAATACTTGACCTACAACCAAGATCGTTATCCTGTACCTTAATCACCCCAAATATCAACTTATTGTGAAAATATACACCCCAATTCGGTAGTGACCGTGATACCACTGCACTATGACTCCATTACATGGTACATTCTTTAGCCAAAACAACAATTGCTAAGAACAACACATGAAATTTTGACCCGTATCCGACCGCACCACTTGACACGCTTTTCCGCAGTCCTACGCACTTCCATTTCAAACCCCTAAGCATCTTCTAACTCAAGCATGTACTTCTTGATACTTTTCGCCGTTCGGTGTGCATGCCAGCACGACGTTCCTGGATCTTTTACCGGGTTGTCCGTCGTCAGATTCTTCTCCAGAAGCGCCACATTGATGTTTTTACCGATGTCCACCAGCTTGATGGTATGCTTGATGCCTTCTTCCCACGTCGGATTCGGAGTCACCTGCACCACTTTCGCAAACTGCCACCCAGCCTTTGAAGTCTTAAAATATGAATATGCACCAATCATCGCCGTACTTCGAAGACTCGGCCTACCCCGTGTTTCACAACAAAGTTTGTAATCCTTCTGCACGTGTCTTTCTCCCTTCCTGCTTTTTAGCAATTGTCCTCTATTTTCCCATCTGCCGATTGTTCCGGCTGCCCATTCCAATATTGAAGCACCACGTCCCCATGTTGTTCAAACTCTACCTCATGCTCCCGCGTACACTTTGTCAACCCCGTCCAATGAGTGTAGTACTGAACCGCCCCCTTCCCACTTATACCTCGACAAATCATGTGCCTTGATATTTCACACGGAACCAATTCTTTACTATCCACTTCTTCCTCCACGTCCCCTGCCGTAAGGTGGAACGGAGGCGCTAACTCTGAAAACTTGTTCAACACATACTTGCTAAAGCCCCACGGCAAGAACCTAGGCCTATCCTCGTTCTCGTGCTTTGTATAACACTTCTTACACCGATACACCGACACGCTCTCATTAATGTTCGTCCCTGGCTCATCCTTATTCACGTCCAAGTACAAAATATTCGGGCCCACTTTTTCCCCTTCCGGATCCGTCCCTGGACCCACAAACAACACCTTATACGGCCCGGTCCAATTGTGTGCCAACTTCGGGATCAACGCGAACGATTTTTCTTTCCCCCTACTGTTCATTCGCGATTTAAGCACGTGTTCCCCCCCACCAGAAATTGTACTCTTCTCATCATACACCAAGACCCAGTCCCCCTCCTTGTACTTCGGTCTCTCTCCTTCTATCGAGTTCAACACCTGATTGCTCTTCTCATGCTTAGCCTTGGTTATCTTATCCTGCTCTCTCACCAGCTCGTGTGCCTTTCTTTGTGTATCCCGCATCAAATTCAAGTAATCCAATTGGTCTTGCTTTAGGCCCTGATTTCCCGAAACACCCCTCCCCGCCAAGATTGTCATCGGCAACCTGGGATACCTCCCGATGTGTGCTACGTTGGGCGCTAGCCCCGTCCCTCTGCTTACGTTGTTGTTGTTGGCCGCTACCGTGTGTGGCAAAAGGGGGTGAAGGACAGCAGGAACCTGAGCCGCTACCGTGTGTGGCAAAAGGGGGTGAAGGACAGCAGCAACCTGAGTCAAACGCAGAGATCGCACTCCGGTTGGGTCTGGAGGAAGAGGCAAGAGTGTTAAATGAGAGGCTCCAACAAGCGACCAGTGCGAATCTGGCAAAAGAGATGACCAAAACGTTCGCAGCAGCAGACAATAATCCGCCGCCTCCGAAGCACGAAAATGCATCTAGCCAAGAGGGAGACGACTCTTGCCGGCTGGTATTTTCGAGCAACTCCGAGACGGTGCCGGGGCAATTAGTGTTGGCTGGAAAGAGGTTTCAGTTGTTGGTGGAGTTAAGACGACTAATTTCCTCCTCTGCAACTGCCGTGGCAGGTGGTGAACATCAAGAAAACGAAGAAGAGATCACCGGTCAAAAAATCCTCTCTCCCAGAACAAATGGCGGAATCAGCAGAGGAACACCACGAGGTGCAAACAGCTCTTTGCACCTCGTGGTGTTCCTCTGCTGATTCCGCCATTTGTTATGGGACAAAGGATCTATTTACCGGTGATTCCACCCTCTTCTTCGTTTTCTTGATGTTCACCTGCCACGACGATTGTAGAGGAGGAAATCGGTCGTCTTCACTCTCATCCACAAATGACTCAAAGCGATTCCCGACAGCACTGACTTCTCCGGCACCGTCTCGGAGTTGCTCGAAAGTACTCGCCGGAAGAGTCATCTCCCTCTTGGCTAGATGCGTTTTCGTGCTTTGGAGGGGGCGGATTGTTGTCTGCTGCTGGGAACGTTCTGGTCATCTCTTTTGCCAGTTTCGCACTGGCCGCTTGTTGGAGCCTCTCACTTAACTCTCTTGCCTCTTCCTCCACACCCAACCGGAATGCGATCTTTGCGTCTGACTCAGGTTCCTTCTGTCCTACGTTAGACACCAAATTCTCGAGAGCTCCCACGTCACCTCCAAATTGTGAGTACAACAAGTCAAGAATCGCACTCGATCTGTCTCTCACCTCTTGACCCCCGCCTTGCGGCTTCTCGCCCTGGGACCCTCCATCTCCCTCAACCCTTTTCCTTGAGGCACTGCCCCCGCCTCCATCCTCCCCAGCCTGGGCTTCAGGCCCCCTCTTCCGGCTCTCATCTGCCTCCACGGCCGTCTTGTCCTCAATATCACCTGACTTACGTAACACCGGACGAAAAGCAGCTGACTTGCGAATTCTGTCTTTGCGCAATACATGTTGAGCTCTGCGCGCATAATACTCTGAGCTATTCCTAGTACTGCACGGCGCCAGCAGCCTTGACCCTGGCATTTCCATTGCCTCGATCGCCATTCTCCGATCTGCACTGAGGCGCCTTGCCCCTTCCCCCGACGTCTCAAAACGTTTTGATCCCTCCCCCGCCGCCCCCCCCGGTGTTTGCCATCGGGGTTGGGTTTTCGTCGCTTGGCAA